TCTAGGATGACGTTTCACCGGTTCGGAAACACGTCGTCTTCTTCGCTCTGGTACAAACTCAACTACATTGAATCCAAATGGAGGATGAAGAAAGGCGACCGGATTTGGTAGATTGCTTTCGTTAGTGGATTCGAATGTAACAGTGCGGTTTAGAAATGCAACCGGAACCTTAAAAAATCGATGATGGACCATGAAATTACATATATATCCTCAAAAATCACAGTCAACAAACGGTCAAATAGACAGAGGACCAAATTTTGTTAAAATTACAAAGTTAAGGAGTTAATTGGTTGAAATTGAAAGTCGAGGACCAATTTGTGAATTTAGCTATAATCGAGGGACCATTTTTGGTATTTACTCGTTTTTAAAATATGTTTTCAGGTTTGGAGTAGATTATCCTTCGAGAGTGCGCTATCTAGTCTTGATGGAGTAGTCCTACCCTTGATTTTAAATAGATATTTTGATGAATTCTATAGTTGGTTTATGTTCAGCTTTGATGTAAGAACCTTATGGAATATGTTATGGTTTATAAATTTATGAGCTTAGTTTTCGCCTTACCACTTGGATTTAAAATGACTTAAGTGTGGCATAACACCTATATAGTTTGGTTTTGCTTCCGGCATTTTGAGTAATTCAGCAATTGAACTTTATTCCTTTTCTCTTTTTTTTTTATTCTATATATTTTGATATTAGAAATTGGGGGTGTTACAAGGTCTACCATATGCTCTAATATCATCTCTAAAATTAGATTAATTTTGATTACTACTACTAAGGACACAACTAATTTACCATATGCTCTAATATCATCTCTAAAATTAAATTAATTTTGATTACTACTACTAAGGACACAACTAATTTTAGCTAATATCTTTTTACAGACTGCTGATCGTTTGAATTTCCAAACAAGGGACTTTGACTATACGCAGCCTTCTTCATCTTTATCTTTGGCTCCAATTTTAGCTCTAAAACAAAATGCTCAATTTGGGATTCGATTACACAACTTCACATTAAAATAACGTCAAGTTAATGTCCAATGCTCCACCTGAACCTTTAATTACTATTTTAGAAAATAATTTACAAGTAATACTAGAGAGTTCTATTTTCCTAGGTAATACGTAAGATTTTTGGCTTGGCTTTGGCTTAGTAGATTATTTTTGAAGACTCAAAATTATAATTTGGCTCATCAAAACTATTACAATTATTCCTAACAGTTTGGTTTACAAAATTATTAGGTTTTATATATTTGTTAGTAAGTCGTTATATCGTAGATCGCGATGCACATGCACTGCAGTAAAAAACGGCGTCGTTTCTTTAAGTAAAGAAACGGTCCGCCATTACCGTTAACGGAGTCCGCATGTTTAGTGTATTAAAACGCCAACTGACAATATAGTACATCTAAACCGATACTGCCTCACGTATTATTTTTATATTATCAAATGAAACTGCAGTTATATCAAAATGATACTGTAGTTGTGGTGAAATGAAACTGTAGTGTATATAAAATGAAACTGAATAACATTTCACATATTTGAGTGTATATTGTACAATGAAGCTGTAATTATATCAAAATGATCATGTAGTTGTGTTTTAATAAAACTAGTGTATATAAAAGAAAATTAAATAACATTTTCACATATTTAAGTCTATAAATATCGAATGAAACTGTAGTTATATCGAAATGAAGTCGTAGTTGTGCTGAACTGAAACTGCAGTGTATACAAAATGAAACTGAATAACAGAGTTACTTTTTGCGAAAAGTTGCAGAATGGCGAAAAACAAATGTCGTTTCTTTTTACTTAACAAAACGACGTCGTTTTGATGCGCGATGCATAATCGATTATGCACTGCAGTGCACGATATAACTTGCCAGAAAATGTATATTGGGCTATATGAAAGTAAGATATATAGATTAGACCAAAAAAGGTTAGGCTTAAAATAGTTGGGTTATTTGGGCTCAAGATTAATTAACTGGCATATGAATTTAAAATAGATATAGGATTAGGAATTTAAAAATCATTTGGGTTTAGAAAAATTGATACGTATAAAAATGATATTGACAAGCTCATCTCAGATAGATTTTGGATAGCAAAATTATGGGCTATAAAATAGTTTATTTAAATTTATGTGCAAAATAATTGTTTTGATAGTATTCGGGCTAAAATGTTTCGGATTGAAAAATAAATTTTATTTTAAAAAAGATTTTATTAAAATAAGATGGTTTAAAATGTTGGGGTGTCACAGCGGTAGCATCCCATTTCCCTTTTGTTGGTAAAGGCTTCCGTGGGTGTTGATTTTGTTTAGATTTGGATTTGAGTTTGGAATTGGATTTACTATCGTACTGTGAAAAAAGTATTCGGTATTTTTAAGTATTTTGTGATTTTGAAAATGGGGTGTTATAGTTGGCCAATGGTCAAGCACGTTTCCAATCGGTCTCTTTATCATTAGGGCAACTCCAATAGGGGGTTCATTCCCTAATTTTGGTACAGTAAAATACCCTTGGATGACTTCTTAGCAAATGGGAAGATAAAATTGTTGCTGAATCTTTCTCCTGTAAATATAGAAATTTTGTCAGTTTTGTAGAAAAGAAAATGGCTGGGAGAGAGACGCGTGTTGGGCATAGGCCCCACCACTGTAAAAAAGAAAATGAAGGCTAGCTTTTAAATTATGATCGCCGTTGCATTTGCAACGGCCAACTTTTCTTTCTTTTTTTTTTTTTTTTTTTTTTTTTAAATTTGAATTTTTAATTTTTATCTTAACTTTTTAACTTTTTTGTTTAACTTCAGCTTCAGCTTCAGCTTCAGCTTCAGCTTCAGCTTCTTCCACATCATTTGAGACTCCGGAGTATCAGTAGATCTTGGTAGTGCTGAAGTGATACCATTGGTTTCGAACCCAAACCCTTCCAAATACAGGTGAATTTAGCCTGTTCACTTCTGGGACAAGGTTTGCATAAAATATATTGACAAATGTTGAAAGATATGCATTGACTCGAGTATCTGTGACTTATTTCAATAGATTGTTTCTTTCTAGTAGCGAGATAATATGGGATTAACTCTAGAATTTTTTCAGATCGACAATTCTTTCTCCTAAGATATGTCTGTTGCTTATAGACTACCACTTTTTTTTCGAAGTGACATGAACATGAGCATGTAAATTGGTTCAGAGGGTGGTTCAGTTGGTGTCTCTATTGTCCCAGTTTCAGTGGGGGGAGTGGAACAGATTATGACCTCGTTGTTCTCCTTCTGATGGTAGGGCTCTTAGGGAACACCTAGATTTTCTACACAAGGTTGGTTTGCACATCAGGGTCTGCCATCTTATCTTTTCCCTTCCATTGTGTTGCAGCAGCCTATACTTCTGATGGATTAGAGAGTCTCTTCAGCAATTCCTGCAATTTTAGATTGTCATGTACTATGGGTCTCTACAAGATCATCCATTTCAAAATCCAGAGACTATATAATAGGTTGTATAATAGATGGTTCGTGAGTTGGAGATAATGGAGGCAGTTCCAGTGTCAGAGTGAACTCAATTTGGGTTAATTCAGTGTCAGGGGCAGGGGTTTGCACAGAGGCTTTAGGTAGAGAGATTTTAATGGTGTTGGATAACTATCCTGTTTGGAGAAAACTGTCTAGAACTGAGGTGGCCGTTAGGACACGCCGCCGGCCAGTCGTCGACCAGCTAATGGCGGGTGGTTAATGCTGCCACTCCGAAAATATAGGAACGAAAAGATATTGTAGCGCTTTAGTAAAAAAGTGATGGCATGGCTTGGTGGGTTGGGGTTTGCTTGCCACACAAGAGGTCCTAAGTTCCAACTTCTTGTATAGTTGGATGTAGGTCTTTTCAAGTTCTTCATATAGAAACAGAATGAATGATGCATTTCACCAATAGACAAAAGAGGCTTAAATAGCCAAGAACACAACAAAACCACCTAAGTCTATGAGTTGTTAACAAAATTATTCTATTCCTACAATCAAGGAGGAACTCAAAATTGTTCTGTTCCTACAATCAAGGAGGAACTCAAAATTATTCTATTCCTACAATCAGGGAGGAACTCAAAATTATTCTATTCCTACAATCAAGGAGGAACTCAAAATTATTCTATTCCTACAATCAAGGAGGAACTAGTCAGGTGTCTCTGATGGATCCACCATCTTGCGGGGGCGTAAGAAGGCATAATGTAGGAATAGAATAAGTCTGTTAACAACTCATAGACTTAGGTGGTTCTGTTGTGTTCTTGGCTATTTATGATTCTTTTGTCTATTGGTGAAATGCATCTTTCATTCTGTTTCTATATGGTATCCAGAGTCATACTCTAGTGAGAATAAATCATTAATTTTTTTTCTCCATGGCTTCTTCCTCAGACACCCATATCAAAAACTAAATGCTCCCACCAATTTTCCCATCTGATTAACATCTTCCAACTTCCAAGTTTGGAGAAGGCAAGTTCAAGCTTCTCTCATTGGTTTGGGGTTGCTAGGCTATATTGACGGCTCAACCCGACTCCTACTCAGTTTTCTGATACGGCTCAGAAAGAAATCAACCCTGCCTACACCATATGGTTTAGACAAGATCAAACCATTCTAAATGCCATTTTAGGGAGCTGTTCCGACACGATTCAACCAGTGATCTCGTCGGCGGTATCCTCGGCAGCCGCATGGGCCCAGTTGACGGGTAACTTCACCAGTTCCTCACCATCTCGCATCGTATCGCTCAAAACTAAGCTGGCTTCCAATCCCCAAAATGGTCGCCCCGTTGAAGAGTATGTTGATGAAATGTTCACCATTGCTGAATCGTTGGCGCTTGCTCAACATCCAATTAGTGAACAAGACTTGGTGGTTCATATTCTCACTCACTTAAATGAGGAATATGATCATGGTGTTCCTGCCCTGCGTGTGCTGCCGGAACCCATTCCCTTCTCCGAATTGAAGGACGTGCTTGTCGAATTTGAAAGCCAACAATGAAAGAAGGATGCTGCGAGACAGTCTCTAGTTGCTACGGTAAATGTAATGCAGAAGCAATATGGTTTTCCAAATTCTGGCCAGAACACCCCTAAACCAAATCGATGCAACGATGGGCAGTCTTCTCACTCCCGGATTTTCAACCAACAACGTCGGAATATCGTGTGTAAGTTCTGTAATCTTATGGGTCATGAGACCCGTGAATGTCGTAAACTACAACGCTTTCTACGAGATAATAATGTCTCCCTAGAAGCGAGGTTTGGCACAAAACCACTGGTGAATACCACCATGGCTCCTATTGTGTCCCATTTTGCTGCTCATCATCAACAACCTTGGTTATTTGATTCCGGTGCATCCCATCACACCACTTCAGACCCATCAATACTTCACTCCGTTACTGAATACGGCGGGCCGGACGAGATTCATCTAGGTGATGGTACGTCCCTGTCAATATCTCATACTGGTCAAACCACCCTCCCTGCGTCTAACCATGATTTATCTTTGTCTAGTGTTCTCTGTGTTCCCCAATTACAAAGAAACCTTGTGTCTGTTTCTAAACTTTGCAAATCTAACAACGTTTCTGTTAAATTTTTTGATACGTATTTTTGTGTGAAGGATCGATCCACGGGGGCGCTACTTCAACGATGGAAGAACGTACATGATGTGTACAGTGCTAATGTGCTCAAAAGGATCGATACACGGGGGCGCACTTTCATTTCCACCACGAATAAATGCGGCTATCAAGTCTTCTCTCACAAGTTCGCATCACACTCTAGGCCACCCATCCAATAAAACACTTGCTAATGTGCTCAAATGTGTCAATATTTCCCTCCGGCCTAACTCTGATTCAATTGTAAGTCTTGCCTAAGCAACAAAAGTCACAAGTTGCCATTTTATAATAATTCCATGACCAGCACAAGACCGCTTGAATTAGTGTACTCTGATGTTTAGTGTACTACTCAAAAGTCGGTCGATGAGTTTAATTATTATGTGATCTTTGTGGATCATTTTACAAAATATATCTGGTTATTCCCTCTAGTAAAAAAATCTGATGTGTATTCCGTGTTTTGTCACTTTAAGAATCTGGTTGAAAATAAATTCAAATTCAAGATTGTCACTCTATTCTCAGACAATGGAGGAGAGTTTATAAAATTAAAACCGCTGTTAAACTCTTGTGGTATATCTCACTTTACTAGTCCCCCGCATACTCCCGAACACAATAGAGCGTCCGAGAGTCGGCATCGACACATTGTCGATACAGGATTAACCTTGTTACATCATGCGTCTATGCCGTTAGAGTTTTGGTCACATGCGTTTCAAACAGCAGCATATCTTATTAATCGTCTACCTACCCCTATATTAAATGGTTCAACTCCTCTGCGTGCGTTGTTTGGTATAATGCCAAATTACGCTAAACTAAAACCCTTTGGGTGCTTGTGTTTCCCTTGGTTACGGCCCTATACCAGTTCAAAGATACAACCCCGATCCAAACCGTGTGTATTTTTGGGCTACTCCACTACTCAATCTGCCTTTAAATGTCTAGATAGTAGCATAGGTCGAGTTTATTTGTCCCGTCATGTTCGTTTTGTATCTAGTGGGTTTCCTATTCAGGCACTGACACGGACACGTAATTCTCCAGCAGAAGTGGTCGCGTCACAAAATAAACAGGTTATTCCGTATCATATTTATGACTCCTCCACATATTCACATACTGCTTCATTAACGCCTACATCATCTGCCTCATTTAGCTCCTCCAATCAAATACCTCCAACTGCCACCAACTCTGCAAAAGCCACGCACCTTCCTCATGCAGTAGAGGATTCCACGGCTTCGCATGCTGTCTCTCTCCAGCCACAAGGTCTTTCGGCGCCATTGGCTTCTCCTCTCCAGCCGGCGACGGAAATCGCGACGTCACACTCCACTTCCCAAACACCTGCTGTCCCCGTCTCTCACACTACATCTCCAGTGTGTCCAGGACGTTCGTCACCAAGTTTCCCTTCCCAGCCAACTACTGCTCCGACGCAAGCAGCTACTTCCCAGCCGGCTGCTTCTTCGGCGCAAGGTATTATCTCCCAATCAGCATCTTTTATGGCTACTATAGACCAAATTGATGAGGTTCCAGTAACTAGGAAGTCACAACGCCAACGCAAACCCAATCAGAAATATTATAATTCAATGTTCATTAATCTCACGTCTACACATACGTTAACTCCTCTGTTGGAGCCGACTACTGTGAGCCAAGCGCAACGATCGCCCTATTGGCGCAATGCAATGAGTGAAGAGTTTCAGGCGTTACTCAGAAATGATACGTGGGAGCTCGTTCCCCCCAGGGTCTGAACCTCCGATTGGGTGTAAATGGGTGTTCCGTATTAAACGCAAACCGGATGGGAGTATTGATCGGTATAAAGCTAGATTAGTAGCGAAAGGGTATTTACAGGAACATGGCAAAGACTATTTTGACACTTTCAATTCAGTCCAGTTGCTAAACCCGCAACGATACGGATTGTGTTATCTATTGCGTTGGCACGTAATTGGGCGTTACGACAACTGGACATGAATAATGCGTTCTTGCATGGAACGCTTACGGAACAGGTGTATATGAAACAACCGTCGGGGTTCTGTGATCCGCTACGACCGAATCATGTGTGTCGTTTGAAAAAGGCCATTTATGGCCTTAAATAGGCTCCATGGGTCTGGTATATGGCGTTATCGTCATTTTTGGTTTCTTTTAGATTTAGGAAATCTCGGGCAGATTATTCGCTCTTTATCTATCAATCTGATGACATTATGGCATATTTTATGGTGTATGTAGATGATATAATACTGACAGGGAATTCACCCGGGTTCTTGAGACAATTTATTGAATCCTTGGCAGCCCGCTTTTCTCTTAAGGATCTCGGCCCTTTGCGCCATTTTCTTGGTATTGAGCTAGTTCCCACTCCCGTGGGTATCTTTCTCTCTCAAGCTCAGTATATTACGGACATTCTTAAAGAATTTCACATGCAGGATGCTAAACCTATTTCTACCCCAGGGTCCGCTACTGAGCTACATAGTGATGATGGTTCGGGATTGGCAGATGGCGGTCTGTATCGCCGTGTTGTGGGTCTTTTGCAATACCTCTCTATCACTAGACCGGATGTACGCTTCATTGTCAACCGTCTGTCGTAGTTCTTGAATGCCCCAACCTCGGTCCACTAGCAAGGGGTGAAACGTGTGCTCCGCTATCTCAAGGATACTGTGTGTCATGGTCTGTTTTTGAGTCGCGGGTCGAGTCTGAGTCTCACCGCCTTTTCGGATGCAAGTTGGGTTGGAATCCATAATGGGGGCAGTCAACGACAGGGTATGCTGTATACTTGGGTGCTAACCTTATTTCCTGGCGTTCGGTGCATCAGAAAGCTGTTGCGCGGTCGTCTACCGAAGCTGAATATCGGGCCCTGGCGAATGTGGCCGTTGAGGTCGTTTGGTTGCAGAACTTGTTGCTTGATCTGGGTATCCGGCTCTTTGCTACGCCGATGTTATATTGTTACAACATGGGGGCGACTTATGTATGCAAAAACCTTGTGTATCATTCCCGGATGAAGCACCTCGCTTTGGATTTTTTCTTTGTTCGTGACCTTGTTGACAATGGGGCACTATGTGTTCGCTACATCCGCACACAAGATAAAATTGCTGATGTGCTTACCAAGTCCTTACCACGCCGTTCTTATGAAGGTTTTCGCGCCAAGCTGGGTATCTCTGATGGATCTACCATCTTGCGGGGGTGTAAGAAGGCATAATGTGATTAGCTTGTGATATAGACTAGTTCCTCCTTGATTGTAGGAATAGAATAAGTTTGTTAACAACTCATAGACTTAGGTGGTTCTGTTGTGTTCTTGGCTATTTAAGCCTTTTTTGTCTATTGGAGAAATGCATCATTCATTCTGTTTCTATATGAAGAACTTGAAAAGACCTACATCCAACTATACAAGAAGTTGGAACACAGGACCTCTTGTGTGGCAAGCAAACCCCAACCCACCAAGTCATGCCATCACTTGTTTACTAAGGCGCTACAATATCTATTTATTCATATATTTTCGGAGTGGCAGCATTAACCACCCGCCATTGGTTGGCCGACGACTGGCCGGCGGCGTGTCCTAACGACCACCTCAGTTCTAGACAATTTTCTCCAAACAGGATAGTTATCCAACACCATTAAAATCTCTCTACCTAAAGCCTCTGTGCAAACCCCTGCCCCTGACACTGAATTAACCCAAATTGAGTTGACTTTGTCACTGGAACTGCCTCCATTATCACCAACTCATGAACCATCTATTATACAACCTATTATAAAGCCTCTGGATTTTGAAATGGATGATCTTATAGAGACCCATAGTACATGACAATCTGAAATTGCAGGAATTGCTGAAGAGACTCTCTAATCCATCAGAAGTATAGGCTGCTGCAACACAATGGAAGGGAAAAGATAAGATGGCAGACCCTGATGTGCAAACCAACCTTGTGTAGAAAATCTAGGTATTCCCTAAGAGCCCTACCATCAGAAGGAGAACAACGAGGTCACAATCTGTTCCACTCCCCCCACTGAAACTGAGACAGTAGAGACACCAACTGAACCACCCTCTGAACCAATTTACAAGCTCATGTTCATGTCACTTCGAAAAAAAAGTGGGAATCTATAAGCAACAGACAAATCTTAGGAGAAAGAATTGTCGATCTGGAAAAATACAAGAGTAAATCCCATATTATCTCGCTACTAAAAAGAAACAATCTATTGAAATAAGTCAGAGACACTCGAGTCAATGCATATCTTTCAACATTTGTCAATATATTTTATGCAAACCTTGTCCAAGAAGTGAACTGGCTAAATTCACCTGTATTTGGAAAGGTTTGGGTTCGGAACCAATGGTATCACTTCAGCACTACCAAGATCTACTCATACTCTGGACTCTCAAATGATGTGGAAGAAGCTGAAGTTAGCCCCAACCTAATGACAAAGAGACTGATTGGAAACGTGCTTGACCATTGGCCAACTGTAACACCCCATTTTCAAAATCACAAAATACTAAAAAATACCGAATACTTTTTTTACAGTACGATACTAAATCCAATTCCAAACTCAAATCCAAATCTAAACCAAATCAACACACACAGAAGCCTTTTCCAACAAAAGGGAAACGAGATGCTACCACTATGACACCCCAACATTTTAAACCACCTTATTTTAATAAAATATTTTTTAAAATAAAATTTATTTTTCAATCCGAAACATTTTAGCCAGAATACTATCAAAACAATTATTTTGCTCTTAAATTTAAATAAATTATTTTATAGCTCATAATTTTGCTATCCAAAATGTATCTGAGATGAGCTTGTCAATATCATTTTTATACGTATCAATTTTTCTAAACCCAAATGATTTTTAAATTCCTAATCCTATATCTATTTGAAATTCTTGTGCCAGTTAATTAATCTTGAGCCCAAATAACCCAACTATTTTAAGCTTAACCTTTTTGGTCTAATCTATATATCTTACCTTCATATAGCCCAAAATACATTTTCTGGCAAATTATATCGTGCACCGCAGTGCATAATCGATTATGCATCGCGCATCAAAACGACGTCGTTTTGTTAAGTAAAAAGAAACGACATTTGTTTTTCGCCGTTCTGCAACTTTCCGCAAAAAGTAACTCTGTTATTCAGTTTCATTTTGTATACACTACAGTTTCAGTTCAACACAACTACGGTTTCATTTCGATATAACTACAGTTTCATTCGATATTTATAGACTCAAATATGTGAAAATGTTATTTAATTTTATTTTATATACACTAGTTTTATTAAAACACAACTACATGATCACTTTGATATAATTACGGCTTCATTGTACAATATACACTCAAATATGTCAAATGTTATTCAGTTTCATTTTATATACACTGCAGTTTCATTTGATAATATAAAAATAATACGTGAGGCAGTATCGATTTAGATGTACTGTATTGTCAGTTGGTGTTTAATACACCAAACATGCGGACTCCGTTAACAGTAATGGCAGACCGTTTCTTTACTTAATGAAACGACGCTGTTTTTTACCGCAGTGCATGTGCACCGCGATCTACGATATAACGACTTACTAACAAATATATAAAACCTAATAATTTTGTAAACCAAACTGTTAGGAATAATTGTAATAGTTTTGATGAGCCAAATTATAATTTTTGAAATTCCCATATTAATTTTGAGTCTTGAAAAATAATCTACTAAGCCAAAGCCAAGCCAAAAATCATACGTATTACCTAGGAAAATAGAACTCTCTAGTATTACTTGTAAATTATTTTCTAAAATAGAAATTAAAGGTTCAGGCGGAGCATTGGAGATGAGCTTGACATTATTTTAATGTAAAGTTGTGTGATCGAATCCCAAATTGAGCATTTTGTTTTAGAGCTAAAATTGGAGCCAAAGATAGAGATGAAGAAGGCTGTGTATAGTCAAAGTCAACCAAAGCTGATGTTGGAGATGGTGGAAATCTAGGTGCCTAAAATTGACAAAGGCCTTGTTTGGAAATTCAAACAATCAGCGGTCTGTAAAAAGATATTAGCTAAAATTAGTTGTGTCCTTAGTAGTAGTAATCAAAATTAATTTAATTTTAGAGATGATATTAGAGCATATGGTAAATTAGTTGTGTCCTTAGTAGTTGTAATCAAAATTAATCTAATTTTAGAGATGATATTAGAGCATATGGTAGACCTTGTAACACCCCCAATTTCTAATATCGAAATATATAGAATTAAAAAAAAAAAAGGAAAAAGGAATAAAGTTCAATTGCTGAATTAATCAAAATGCGGAAGCAAAACCAAACTATATAGAGTGTTATGCCACACTTAGGTCATCCTAAATCCAAGTGGTAAGGCGAAAGCTAAGCTCATAAATTTATAAACCATAACATATTCCATAAGGTTCTTACATCAAATCTAAACATAAGCCAACTATAGAATTCATCAAAATATCTATTTAAAATCAAGGGTAGGGCTACTCCATCAAGACTAGATAGCGCACTCTCGAAAGATAATCTACTCCAAACCTGAAAACATATTTTAAAAACATTAGCGAGTAATGCTAAGTACACCCCACACATATACTTTTATATCCAACATATATAGGGGCAATCAAGTGCAGCCATGTTGTTAGGTGTGGTCATATGGTCAATTACAGGCCATTAGATTAGATAGATCCAATGAATCACATTAATCAAGATTCTTCTAGTATTTTCGCGCACGTTCACCTACCCAGCGAACTGCAAGGGTAAACTCGTCATAGGGCACCGGAATAAGGGAAATCACGTTGTTGTGTGTTTTATTTGTGTAATTGGTGCATTATTAGTCTTACTCTTGTGTATTTGTAGATTCCCATTGGTGCCAAGTTCAGGTGCGGCAACGCCTTCCCGTGTGGTCAGTGCGGCCGCACCAACTGTTATACAAATATACGTCATCCATGTTATGAAATGCACAGTAAAAAATATACACAAATTAGGTACGCATCACCAAAAACGCGTCATTAGATATGAATAAATACACCATACAGTGTTCGGGAATACACTATTGGTGTGTTTCATTGTGGTGTGTTTTATTACACAATTGGTGCATGTTGTCAACACTGTTGGTGTATTCTGGAAACCGACCGCTATAAATGGCCACTGTAATTACCATAACACCCCCACTTACCAAAACGCGCGAAAATTCTCAAAATTTGCCACTGCCATTAGATTAAACTAATTCAACGACACAGATATGACCACACCGCCACAGCTAATGACATGACCACATATGAGCTCTCTTTTATATATATATATATATATATATATATATATATATATATATATATATATATATATATATATATATATATATAATATCATCTATCCAACTCTAACGGAAGGATTTCAAAAGACTCATTTGCCACAAGAATGCTAGGTTCAAGACTAATTCAAGAGAGAGACCACAACAATACTACTCAATTCAACTCAGAGTTAGAGACACAGTACAACAAGAGATACCAACGATATCAAACAAAGAATGCTTCATAAATAAAGGCTCACTCAAGATTGTTCATAGATGTACAAAAGGAGGAACATGCCATGGCGTACTTTCCGATTCAAGGCATAGTCAATCATA